AAATGAAAGGCAGGATACAACCCCCTGGGAATATTTGTTCCCATTAAGCTTTGCAATTTTTTTCTGAAAGCATGTAGGCATTTAAAGGAAATATTTACCAGTTAAACAACAATGGCTCCAAAAGAGCAACTGAGATCCTGTCCCCTGTATTTCCTCATGGGTACGCTGAGGCTGCTGATGGAACCCGGAGCTCTCTCAGGTCGTCCTGCGCCCTCCGGGGAAGCTGATGGGTGCTAGATCAGCTGGCGTGGGGCTCTCAGGTGGACCCGTGTAAAAGGAGCATAAACTGCTTTGGTGAGATCCTCCCTGGGGAAGGGAGCAGAGCAGAGGGGAATCCGCTCTGGGATGTGCTGGTGAAGACGGGAGCTCCGTTGCCAGAGTGGACGGAGCCCGCGGGAGACGGGATCCCTCCCAGCAGCAAGGGAAAGGCTAGCTGATGCTGGTGGAAGCGCAGCTCCACGTTACACAGCATCTCACATGGCACAAACAGGTTTGCTCGCTCTGCCTGGATCCAGCCTACCTCTGGGGAATGATTTCAGCTCACTTAATCTCATAACCATGAAGCACAGGCAACTTTTCCCAAGAGCCTTGAAGGGACAGTAATTATCTTATTATGCAGAGAGTGTTACTGTTTTTTTCTTGTGTATGGGGGAGATGAACAGATCCTGATACTCAACTTCTCTAATAATTGCAAAATGCATTTGGAAGCCAGTGGAAAGCTTCTCCATCTGACCATACCGAAAGCAGAGGATCCAATTTCGCCGCTGAGACACTCACCTTATCCGTGGTGCTCTGTCATTTGTCCTGGGCAGGGATCCTTTCCTTATGGACCATCTTCGTTTCTTACTGTCAGAACAGAAAAGCCCACTGTTACACTCCCCTGGTCATGCAGGCAGAGATCAGTGATGCAGCCCGTGCCCAGGACGGACGTGGTGTGGGGTTCCCTGGATGCTCCCAAAGGTCCCTGCGGAGTGAGGTGGAGGATGAATGCAGGGTCATGACCACAGAGTACCTGTGTCTGGCATTGGCACTGAGCTCACACCGCAAAGGCTCGCTGGACACCGTGATACCAGTGATAGGACGTGGGGAGCCCCGTCCCTTCCCTCCTGGGCAGTGCAGGCTGCACAGTGGGTGTTTTAGGAGCATCCTATGGGTCCTGGTCTTCCCCTCGCTCACACGAGCTTGCAGTGTAGGTCACCTTGCTGTGAGCCTGGTGGGAAAGGCCAGGCAGACCCGCGGTGCCTTTGCACCCTTTGGGGTTGAGCAGGCAGGGATATGGTGAGCTAGGGCTGAGCAGAGTAGAAGCCGTGGTTCCACCTAACGTAGCACCAGGGCTTCGCTGAACACCGAGCTGTCCCCTCCAGCAGTCTCCCCGGGGCCCAAGGATGGGATTTTCCAAGAACCCAAGAGAACGGGGTGCCCTGTTCCTACTGACACTCTCCTGGGTGTATCCCAGTTCCCTTACACTGATGTGTGGTCCCATCTGCTGTACCCCACCACTATATTTTACCATTTTCAGTACCTACACATGCTCATTTAAGGGCTAAGACACCCAACTGCTCAGTCAACCTCTGCACGAGTGCCCGGGATCCAACGTGTAAATTTGATGGTGAAAAGGGGGATGGACTTGTTGACGCTCAGCGTCCCACAGGGCACTCAGCTCCTTGCGAGACAATGACACCCAGTGCAGGACTGAGCATGCCGCCGTTCAGGGTCTCCGTTAGAGCCTTCTCAGCCATTAGACAATTATTCCCTAAGTGCTCTGCAGCATTTTAAAATTCTGTGAGTATTTTAATTGAAAAATGTTTGCTTTTCAGTTCCATTTACTGGGTCAAATCTTTGCTCAAGCAAGTACCCATGTCAGCTGCTTAAGAACTGCATATAACGCATTAAAAGAGCATTTAATCCTCCACTCTGAGGGAGGGTTCAGCGTCTTATATGCTAATATTCATTATGCTGGGAGGAAATCCCCCAGGACACTGCCTGGCAAAGTTCCCTTGAAAGCAGAGGAGCGATGCCAGTTCAGAGTGGGGGAAGATCAGGTCTGTTGGCTCTGTTAATATCGTCGTGATGAGCTTCTGACAAAGGCACTAAGGGATTTTGGCTCCTGGCTGCAAGTCTCTCTGAATTTGAAGTCCTCCCTGGACTGGCGTTTTACATGTTTCCTCCAAAGCTTTCTCCCTTGCACACTAGAAGCATACTCCCACGACATCTAATATTAATGCTTGTCTCCAGGCCAAGAAAGAAATGTTTCTGCCCAACCTCCCTCTTAGATTTAACAATGTCGAAATCTCCTTGTCTCCCACTGGTTTTACCACCAGTGTGAGCTACGAGGCACGCTGAGCGCTGGCCCAGAGCAGGTCTCAGGCCGAGCACCGGGCTGGCTGCGAAGGTGAGATTTTCACCCACCTCCCCATTTCCTAGAGCCCGTCCCGCAGACCTGTCAGGCACACCGCACTCGCCCGGGCAGCAGCACCAGATCCAGCATCCCCCTGGGAGCATCCGTGGTGGATTGAGGGCTGGAGGTGTGGGCTGGGCTTCCAGCCGGTCCCCTGTGCGGTGGGTGAGCTCGGAGGGTGTGAGGGTGTCTGGGGCTGGGGTGGGGGGACTCAACTTTGCTATGGCTCTGCAGGCATGAAAAAGGAATGAGTAAAAGAGGAGAATTAAGAGTAGATGAGCACTAAGATCTCACATCAGGGACCCTCTCTTAAGAGAGGAGTGGTTATAGCCCATCACAGTAAATGGGACGTGCCTGAGGACACCAGCGCTTCCCCAAATTGGGACCAGAGGTGCTGAAGTGGCAGATGGAGATGGATGGGGAGACAGACAGAAGAGTGACACACATACAGATGCAAAACTTTTTAGCTACTACAAGCCATGTCTGACCCCATACCTGCTGTGTACAATGGGCTCTCGCTGGCCCCCGCTGGGGTCTTGCACAGAACTGGAAGCACTTGCTAAAGGAATAAGAATTTTTGGTGCTTCTGAAAAAAGGGGGAACAGCTTCTTCTGTTTTAGGACAAACTCTTCTGCTCAGGCTTTTCACAAGGCTGTTTGTAAACTTTACACTTAAGTTTAGGCTTTGGAGCAGTCCCTCTTCTGCAGAGCTCTGTAAGGAAAATGACCTCCCACTATTCTATTATGTCCCATATTGTTCTCGGTTGCGTCAGCTGCAAACCAGTTATCTCAGTGGAAATCTAGAGAAGTCCATTGATGTCAGTGGGATCAAAGCAGGTCAAACCAAGAAAAGCACTTGGCCCATAGCTCTTGGTCTGTCGTCACCAGTTGCCCAGTGCTATGCATATTATGTCCGAGATCTGATTCCCACAAAACGATTTATTTTTTTTGCCTGAGTAAAGACTTTGCATTAAGTGTCTCAGGACTGGTATAACTTAAGGCAACCATAGAGACATGCAGCTGTAGCTGTGCAAAAACAAACGTGTGAACACGGCGCCATCCTGTAGCCAGGTTTATTTTCTCTTATGTGCACACAGATGAGTTCTTATTTACATTTAGAGGAGGCAGTAATGGCTGCTGCGTAAAAGCAGGGAAATGATTCATCTCACCCAGGAATAAACTGAATTTCGCGGCTTTCTGTGAAATTTCCCTGGCAAAAAGTGGCATTAGTCAGCAGGGGATGCCCCCCCCCAACCCCCTGCCTTTCCCCTCTGCGTTTTCCCAGTGAATCAGCCCCTGAGGAGCGCGTGGGGAGTGCGGTGGGAATAGCTGTGGGTTGCGTGCACGGTTTGGTCCCTTCATCACGGCCATCCCAGCGAGCAGCTCGGGACACAGCATTTCGCACAAGAATGTTTTTTGCTCTGATTATCCTTCTCTATGAGGAGAAAGTCTCCAGCTCCAGAAACCTGCACTAAGCGGAGCTCCTCTGCAGTCACCTCCCAGGCTATGGGCAGGAGGGGAATCCAAGCGGTCACTTTGGGAGAGAGGACGGAGAGTGAAATTACATTTCTGATCATCCTCATCTGTCTGCAGGGACCTCGTCTTTTTCTTTCTCTGCCTCATCTGAAACCTCAAGTTAAATCTTCCCTTGTTTCACCGTGCCCTTCTGCTGCTGGTGTGAGTGTGAGTCAGGTTCGTTTACTCTAATTTGTTGCAGTTTGTAAACGTGTCTCCCCAGAGCCAGCCCCATCTGCAGCAGTAGAGTCTGGGAAATGGCTCAAACAAGCCTGCAGCCCAGATTCAATTTCTCCTCCTTACCTCTAGGGAAACTTGTGCAGAGCTGGTAGTTTAACAGCATAGAGGGGGGACTAACTCAATCGGCAGAATGAATGCTGGATCACAGGGAATAACATTCAAAATCTGCCAGAGCAAAATCGGTGTTTGCTGCTGCTACCCGGAGGAGCAGCGGATTTTTGAGGAGGGTCAGGGTCCAGCCACCGCCCCTGGGCTTCTGTCTTGCACAGCTTCCCAAGTGGTGGCAGAGCTTCCCAATCCGCTTTTAAATTAATTTTATCACTGATGAAGCCTTGTTATTTCTTTTTATGTTTGATTCTCTGCCCGCTGAATTGCTTCTGTAAATGTTAGACCTTGGGAAAAAGTATGCCGGGTTATTTCAACCGAGAGCCATTCACAGACGTGGTCCTGCTCCATATTCCCGCACAGCCAACCAGTGCCTGGGTATCCCAGCTTCTCCTACCCACAGCCAGCCTTTTATCCCAAAATACCCCAGTTGCCTCACTGAAAGCCTCCTGCCTGCACTGTGTAATGCCACAGATCAGGATGGTGGGACCCACAGGTCTGCAGGTAGCTGAAAACAGATAGCGTGCAAATCACCCAGCTCCACGGTTATAAATTTGAGCAGCTTTGCTGAGCTCCCGGCACGCACACACCGGCACGCTCCAGGTTTGGCCGGTAGCCAGTGCAAGCCCCAGGTCCTGGGGGTCCCTGCCTGCAGCCCCGTCCAGCCCCACGTCCTGCCCGTGTCTGGGGGCCGAACTCTGCAGCGGCGCAGGCTGAGAGCAGATTCACCAACAATCGCAGCGATGCCGCTCGCTCTCGGCAAGCGTGGCGTTGTGTCGGAGGTGTTCAGAGAGCAGGCCGGTAGAAAAAAGAGAATGAGTTATGGAAAGGAAAGAAAAGAGATTTGCTAAGAATTTCCAGCTATCTCGCAGGTATTTGTGCAAGTGTTTGCTGCCTTCCTCTACCTGCACGGGAGGCAAAATTTACCCTGCGAGTTCCCCGCTCTTGGAAAACAGCCTGAGTGCCAGTGGGGTAAATTAAAAATAATAGTGCTGCAGTTTGGGCTCCGCTCTGAGCAAACCAGCACTGGAGACTCTCCTCGGCTCAGCACGTGCGTGGCTGACAGCGGAGCCAGCCTCGCCGGGAGGTGCAGAAGGATGCTTTAAAAAACTCGTTTGCTCAGGCAGCCCTTTGCCAGCGCTGTCTGTTCAACCAGCCCCGGAGGCTCCCGCCATCATCTCCGCCTGAGCTGGGGCAAAAACCCACCCAGATCCCGTGGGGTCTGGCCTGGCGAGGACACGTTCCCGCTGCCCCCAGCGCCAGCTCCCCGTCCCGTCCCGTCCACCTCATCCCCGCTGCGGC